TTAAAAAGGGTACGCGAGGCGGTATATTTCCCGCAATTATACAAAATAGTAACGGCGTATGTCAGGTCCTGCAATCAATGTCAGTTAATAAATGATATTAATTACAGCCCGGCCGGGTACTTAAATAGCATTCGCGCTACATTTCCGAATGAAATTTTAGGCATAGATCTTCTTGGTCCCTTCCCCCAGAGCGAGTTAAATAAAAATCGTTTTCTTTTAGTAATAGTAGATCATTTTTCAAAATGGACAGAAATTGTTCCACTTAAACGCGCGTCAGCCAAAACAGTCGCAGATGCATTCTTACACAGATACATTTTAAAATACGGTGCACCGATAAAAGTCATTAGCGATAACGGAAAACAATTCATTAGTCAAATATTTGAAAACATATGCAATGGACTTGGCATACGCCATATCAAAATGGTTCCGTATAGACCACAGGCTAACATAGCAGAAAGAGTTAATAAAAACATAGTAAAAATAATTCGCAGTTACGTGAGCACACACACATCACAAGCGCTGGGATGGCTACATAAATGAATTAGCTTATGCTTTAAGAACGGCACATCATGATACTACGGGAAAAACTCCAGCAGAATTATTTTTAGGCAGAAAGTTAATTAATTACGCCTTTAGATAAATTATTCTTTGTGCAACAAAGAGAGCAGGAGTTTAAACAAAAGATGTGCAAAAACTTGATTGATCAGGCGCTTAAAACCTCGGATACGGCAAGAAATAGGCAGAAAGTATATTATGATAGAAAACGCCGTGAAGCAGATTTTAAAGTTGGGGATAAAGTATTGAAGCGGAAATTTTCTTTATCAAGTGCCCCAGACAATTTTATGGCAAAGCTAGCTCCAAAGTTTGAAGGCCCCTATGTAATTCAGGAAATCAAAGGAGTAGTATTATATCTTAAGAACGAGAGAGGGGAAATCTGTAAAGCAAGTCCCGACCAGGTGAAAAAATACTATAATCCAAATGATTTTGAAATCCTTAAAAGTTTCTTGCAGGACTCAAGTCTAAACGAAAGTAGAAGGTCCAGAGACTAACAACAACTATTCCACCACCCAAGAAACAGAGAACTGAAGAGAGACCTAGCCCTTCTACAACCCGGACGTCGGTATCAAAAAGAAAAAAAAAATTTTCAAACTCCAGCGTTTAAGAAAAACAAAATACAGATGCACCGGGTAAAGAAACCGTGGTAAAGAGAAAACACCACCTACAAACGGATCGCAGGAGAAATTATACATCAAGGAGAACGCGCACACGGCCACAGAGTCAGGTGCCAGCAAGGCCGCCGTTCCGGAAACTGAAACGCCAACAGGAGGCACAAAAATACGAGGAACAGAAGAAATTCAAGAAGGACTCCAGACCGGAGGACGTCAAGACCAGCCGTCCCAGGAAAAACGGAAAGGCCAACAACCCAGACGATTACTCCGCCAAGAGGCCAGCATGTAGAGGACGCAAAAGAAAAAGCTAATGTGGACGACACTCGGAGGTCAAGTAAGGAGAAGATTGACATCCATGAAACCTCTAACTTGGGATCAATTTTGCCAAAAACGGAATGACGGAGTTTCAAGCATCGAAAACTCAAAGATAAGTTAAAACCTTCTATAATTTTTTTTTTCTCTTTTGTTCCGAAATGTTATGCATAAGTACGAAGTTCTATGTTTTGACGAAAGTCAATATGTCTCGGTTGAGACTTAGTTTTGTTTTACTTTATTTAGCTAAGGCAAAAGTATTATTTTCTTTAAGTGTAAAAGCTAAAAACAAGCATTTTCTGTTGGTCGAAAGACTAATTCTGTTATGTTAAAGCCAAAATTTGGCCGAAGATAAAAATAACTTCGTATTCTTGTATTAATAAGAATTTTAGTTTCAGTGCCGCCAGCTTGGCGAAGAATGAGTAAAGTAAAAATTTATTTTCTCTTATTCATTTTATGGTAAATTGTAAAAATCATATGTATTAAAATTTTGTAAATGTACGTAAATACTTGAATGTTATGTAAAAGTAGAATTTAGTCTAGAAGCATAAAATTGTAGATGCTAAAAGTGAATGCTTAAAAGCTTAAAAGCAATGAAGTCAAAATTTAAGTATTAAACTGTAGATAAAGTCATGCTTTAGAGCGAAAGCCTGCATGTTTAAAGATGAATGAGGGGGAAGTTAGAATGAATGTGTTTTGTAGGGTTCTCCACCTACATTTGAATTTTTAAGAATATTAAAGTAGCTCATTGAGTTGTAGAATGTCGAGTAAGGTGTGTCTATTTGGTCGTTGAATTCTAACAAATCATGGTGGTTAGGGGAAGTGTTGTAAGACTAAAACACGAATATTCCCGTTTGACACACCACACATGGTGGAGAGCCAGGGTAAAGTTAAATTAATGCTTGAAAAATTGAATGAATGAATGTGAAGTAAGCAATAACTAAGAAAAACGAATCGTTTAAAAACAAAAATTTATTGTGTCAAGAAAGTGTAAATTATAATGTATTTAGAAAGATACTGATACTTATTCCTTCCAGATGCTGGAAGGAAAGACCAAGATTGATTGATGAAGTCCAGGAAAAGGTGCTGTAAGAAGAGAGAGTTATAACGACAACAGAATTTTAGTATACAATTTGTTACATAAGATTTTTTTTTTTTGTGTGTAAACGAGGTTCTCGACAGTTAGTTCAGAATTAGAGAAACTTACAACAGGTCGTTTGTAGGACCTGCTTCCAAGTTTTCCAAATTCTGGCAGCGGCAAATGTAGGGTTTATATTTATTTTAACTAACATTTATTTTAAGTTTAAACTATCTTTCCTGTCAAGCCTTACTTTCCCCTGGAACTGCCAATGCCAGAAGTATGTAAATTTTAGTAGAACGCGCAAGGATTCAAATTATCAGCGGAAGTATTCTGATTTAAATAGAAAGGAAACGAGTTCGAGGTGTGATATTCTTACTTCACGAGCGCGGAGGTAGTTAGCCAGAATTGAAGAACCCCGCGTTTCGGCCTATGTGCTTGGCGGGAAGTAGTGTTAATCGTTCAAGTGAGCTTCAAGTCTGCTGAATTAGCAGCGGTATTGTAAAACGCGCGGTGAGTTAGTTATTTTAGAGAGCCTCGTAGTTAGAAGTCTTGTCTTTAGTTTCTTTTCAGGTTATTATTTTTATTTGACCGCCGAGTTGGCGCAGTTTGTGAGCGTCAAGAGCACGCAATTGTAATTTATTACGTTGAATAAAAAGGGACTTAAACCCTTTACAAGACTCTGTCTTTTATCCAGTTTTCACAGTCACCTCTTGGTTGCGTGCAAGTTGGAGGCGCGCAACGCTACAGCACAAAAGAAATTAACTATAAACGACAGAGTATAACTAGATGAATCTAGATTTTTTGAGCAGAGATATGTTATTTTAAGCATTTAGAACTTTGAAGTTACGTATAACAATAATTTGTTGCATATACTAAAAAAAAAACAGAAAATAAAAGAATTAAAATAAACACATAATCAGATGGAGCATAAAACAAGGTAAAACTTCTTTAGATGAGGATTCTACTGTAATTATTAAACAAATATGAATGTATTAAGAATTACACATTTTAAAACTGGTAGATTTACCACTGAATTGAACGAAGAATTTTCGAAGTCCTATTATCAAAATTTGAAATTACACAGTTAGAGGCTATTGAAGTATTTAGGAGATAGATTATAAGAATCCTACCTTAATCTTCTTTATCTTTGGAAACCATTCATACTTTACAGTCTGAGAGTGAATTGCTACATGTGTTTACGAATGGCGTTGTGTTGGTTGACATTAAAAATGGCGTCTTTTGCAAGCTTATTTTATTTTAGAGTCCGATTGGCTGCTTTGGATGCTGAGATCACGGCCATGCGCATTGCCTTATCCCAACTCCAATGTCAACTTGAACATTTTTCAAAGGTTGTCATACGCTCTGATTCTAAATCTGCGCTTCTATCCATTTCTTCTTTTGAATAACCAATTTCTATTGATGTTTTAAAATGTCAGAGTTTTCTACACATTTTAGCTCAGGAGGGCAAAAAGTTGCCATGCAATAGATACCATCACATTGTGGCCACCATAGAAATGATAAGGCAGATTTGTTGGCAAATAAAGGGGACAATATTCTCCAGATAACTGAAAACCACATCTCCTTTTACACTGCTAAAAGAGTAATAAAATATTACTATAGATAAACTTTTTGGAAAGGCGTTACCGAAAGGAATACTCATAAAATATGCATTAACAGAATTTTTGACACTGTTTTATGACCCAGAAAGAAATCTGTTGCTCTCTTACGTCTTGTTATTGGCCTTGATTCCCTCTTAGAACACCTGCATCGAATGAACATTATCCCAGCCCCAATTTCTAAATTGTGCAATCTTCATGAGGAAATGGATGCCTCATATCTGCGTGGTAGCCCTGCACTTAATGCTGGATCACTCTGGGAGACATTTTTGGAGGCGAGACACAAAATAGATTCATAGAATTATACGGTGGATTCATTTTTAGTTTTCTCTTTGTAATCGGCCATTAGAAATAAAAAAACTATCTCTATAAAAGTGTAAATTAAATAATTTTCAGCAAACGTGCACAAAGTGGCTTTCATTTTGTTCATTAAATTTTTTTTTCATCATGCATAGCAGACCTTTTGATAATGAAATTATTACTTCTGATCTCATTATAAATCCCAAATTACTTAATAAGTACGTCTATCCTTCAAATTACTTAATAAGAACTTTATTTCACACTGTCTGTATCATTTTTCTGGCTTATATGATTCTGATTTTGTTTGGTTAAAGTTTTACAGTTTCTATGTTTGTCCAGTGAAACCATATTACAAAAATAACATGCTTGTGTACATAATATGAATGCATACTATGCTTGTGTACAATAATATTCAAAAATATGAATTCTTTTAATCATATTACATAAATGTTCAAAAATCTTTTTTTTTTTCAATATTTACATATTTTTAATGCAGCTCTGCACAAAATCAATTTTTTCCAGGATTCTCACAATCAGTACTTCGTAGAAATAGTCTGGAGGTCAAATGACAATTCATTAATTTATTTTTACAATAAAAAGATGAAATATATGTGGGATCCAAAGCAATTCCGTTTCATCAAAATTGGGTAAGTAAAACAAGCTTGTGTGTTCCAAATGTTTTACACATACTAAGAAAATGTGAATGGGAGTTCTAAAAAAACAATGTAGAGTTTTCTGCTTATTCAAATAGTGTGCCTAAGAGAATTTTGTAGCTATTGTTTTATATATAAGTTGTTGGAAAATGTAAGTACGGAGTTTCTAGCCTTATATTTATCCGACACATGTATTTCTCATCAAAACGATTCTCAAAATAAGGCGAATAATCATATATGAAAAATTTCGGCATTGGTTATCGGGTGGTTCTACAGAAATAAAATCTAACTTTTCGTATGTTCAACGTAGAAATAATATTCCAGCTTACTAAAATATTCATTATGATTAAATAAAATAATTAGGAAGAATTTCATATTTATACCATCCCTACACAGACATTTTTTAGTTATTAAATTCTTCACTGAGCTTTCATCAAATAAAATGTGTTCCATAACCGCAAACTGAAAATAGAAACAGCTTTAATTTGGAGTTGCAGCCAAATTTCCTCCAAAATGCATTAAATCCTTATCAATAATACTCGCAGGCATTAAAAAAGGAACTAAACCAGTTAATTCGTTCTTAGATATCTCCACGAATTTTCAAATAATTTTTTAATAGTTATCATAATGAATATTTAAATAGCTAGACATTTTGCTCTAATACACCCATATGAAAATTTTGTAGCTATTGTTTTATATATAAGTTTTTGGAAAATGTAAGTACGGAGTTTCTAGCCTTATTTAATCTTAAGGAATCCTCTCACCCACAGAATTTTAAGTTTAAAATTCTCAATTTTATTTAGGAATTGCGAGTCCAATACCTGTACTTAAGCAAATATAATCTGTATCAATATTTTTGAATACCTTCTACATAACACTAATGCCGAAAGTTTCATTTACATGGCACAAAATGTTGATTTCTGGAATACGTTTCAATAAACTTCATTGAATTTATTTGATTTTTTATGTAGCGGCATAACATAAACGTGAACTTAAAATCGAATATGGATGCAAACACATACTATGAAAAAAATACTAGGAAAATCTATATACTATGAAATAAAACTAAATTAAAATAATATGTGATAGCAAAACTTAAGAAAATGTAAATCCCTTGGGAAAGGAATGCAAACTTTTGAAATATCTCTGACATTAATGTAATACTAATGGTTTCACTCCTAATAGCAACATACATTACAATGCAAATTCATGCTGCCAATTAAAAATGGTTGGTTAGAAACTGGAAAATTAATTTTCCCTTCTCAAGACGTATAATCATCTAGGTGTTACAGTTTCTAGACACATAATTTTGTCGTGTAATAACTCTTATCAAAGATATCCTACATGAATTTCAAATCAGGGATTTTGACTGGCGATTTTGCTCCACCCATGCTTTGGGTTTCAAAGAATTAATGTTGATTACACAGTGTGGATGCACTTTTATCAAAGAAAGTTATTAAAAGATGTGTGAGAGAAAATAAGATCTATATCAGACACTAAAATACTTTACATAGATTTGTAAGATTTCACCTCAACGCCTTTAGACACAGAACTTCTGATAAACACATGCAACGAAGTACATTCATTGTTCATTATTTTACATCATTCCGTCACATGTGCTTCTCCATCATGGTCATATTCTTTAGTGCTGGTGAGAATGCATGTGTTTCGTGCTCCTGATTTCTTTCAAATGCGCCAGTACGGGAGGGTTGCTTTGTTCTATGGTCAATGAAATACTGGTTTACATGAAAATCTTATGAATGGTCTACGCCCAATTTCTAAGCTCCAAATTTTCTAGTAGTAGCCATAAGCTCTATATTTAACTGCTCAGAAAGCAATAATGTGCAATAACGAAGAGAAAGTGATCTTAAAGAGTTATTTTTCTCTTCTTTAGCTTTGTTCAGTTTCCTAGTAACCGTTCTTGAATAACCCTGTATGCAGAAAATGACTTAACATCATAATAAACACGGAAAATACTTTGTACAAACCACATTTTCCAATACCTCTACCATTAAAGATCTGATTTTAGTGCTTATCGAGTCAAAGCAATTTCCATATCACGCAGAATCATATAGTGAATCCTTGAGATGAAAAATATACCATTAATTTAGAAGTAAGGCAGATTATTATGGAAATGCCAAGATAACTGTATGTATTAAAGCAAACAATCTCTGCCCCTCGAATAATACTTTAAAGCTTCTGAAAGTGTCGCTTGGAAACAGAGATAAAAACACAGATGAAAACGAATTTCAAACAGTTCTTCCCTAAAGGAATTGAACTGCTAATATTTTTCCAATTCTTTCAAACACTTCGTCTCTGAGGGAAATGGATTGCTAATATCTGCCCAAAGTTTGGATGACAGGTACAGTTAAGAACCAATGGCTGTCATCCCAACTTTTCTGTGGCGGCAAGCGCCTATTAATGTGCGTATGGAATTTTGAACAAGAAAGATTTTAATACTTAAAAAGGACAAATTTGTGTTTCATTGATCACGCAGTAGTATTGGTACGGAGTAACATTAGATTTAGAGTCTGCAACAATAGTGCTGTGTTCTCATAAATGAAGCATAGAGATTAAGTTTAACATGAAATTTTACAATTCTACGTAGGGCTGTTTAGAGGTGCTTGCTGGTCAGATTTTCTTATGATGAACCTCGAATAAACTTGGTTGATGAATTTCTTAAAACCGAACATATCGAAAAATTAGCGAACTAATCTTCTGATCTGAATCCCTTCATTAATTTAAAGTAACTTATGAAATACCTTTATAACAGTTTGTTGAACGCACATTTATCCTGCTAGAAATCTCGGTTCCTTAAGAAAATATGGCAAAGCACATTCATTGCCTTAAAACTATATTGGTTTTTAGAATGTAGTTTACTCGTTTAAATTCTAATTTAACCACCACTAAGAATATCGAATCGTGCTTTGATGTAGAAGTAACCGGTAAATGGAGGTCAAATTTCTTTTATGAAGTCAAAAATCTGTATTTATTTCCAAGGTTATTGTTCCCTTATTTATTTCTTCATACGATTTTGTGGTTGTATTCAAACTCGAATTTTCAGTTCGCATTCATGTACCTGCTATGTACCTATCTAAATGAATACACCTAATTTTATTGAATAGTTTTTTATTGAAAAATCAGTGTTTTGTGCATGTAAAAAGCATTTTGTATAATTTTTAATACACACAGTATATTTTTCCATATAATCGTTCACTGATTGATTATTCAGAATTCATTTCCTGTCTTTAACATATTTACTGTCTTTTAGCATATGCCATTAGCACTGTCTTTTAGCACATTATTTACTGTCTTTTAGCATATGCCATTTGTATTAAATGAACTCAGACACATATTTGTTTTCCTACATATTAAAAAAAGCCCATAAGAATAAATTTATATATATATAATTACTTACGTTTATTCCTTCTGCTCATAACCTCTATTACTTGCAATTAGTACCGTTTTCAAAGTTTCTTGTTTCACTGGCATTAATCAGTAAACCTCAGTCTTTGTGTTATTTCCTCTGAAATTGACTTACTCTCGAAACCTAAAATTTCATATCAGATAATATAATATACTGTAAATATGTTATACAGTTGAGCTGATAAACTTACAACCTAAGTACTCAGCAACATTAATTTAGAAGTCAAACAACAAAAATCACCATTATATTTGCAAATTTTTACAGGACTGATTTCGATGGATTTACCGAACCACCATCCACAGCTGACAAAGTGCAAAAGAACGAGATACGATATAGTGATAAGATGAGATAAGATAAGAATGGCTGGACAGGAGTTAAGCTACCGGCGCCATCTATTGATGAAATAAGGAAACCAAAAAGTAATTTCCTTAAAAGCTGAAGGTAAAGATGGATTGGAATTAGGGTCGTTAACTAGTACAGAAAGATTTTTTTTAATGTGAAACGCCTCTAGAAAATCTAATTCACCAGCGGAAGATGTTTTTTGAATAATTTTGGCTGCAGTAAAATAGAATGTGTGATTTTCGGATCAACAATGCTGGGCAAAAGAGTACTTCTGCGGTTCCTTTTTCTTAACATATGCCTCATGTTCCTTAACTCAAAATCCGGAATAGAGGTCATATCCGGAATGGAGGTCCTTAAGCATGGATCTCAGAAATTTATTGATAGAAGAATAAACGACCAGAAAGTTAAATTTCGGTAAAATACGTGCGATTTTATAGCTAATTGTTGGAAACAAAGGAATAACAGCATAATTCTTATAATCTTCTAAAACAAGAGTGTGCCTTTTGGTGTATTGTGATGAGAATGTTTTAACTGCTTGATTAAACATGTTGGGTGAAAAGCCCATGACAATAGCTACTGCTTTTAAATAACTTAGTTCTTGATCAAGAGCCAATTTGGAGGAGCAAATTTGAAGTACCCGGAAAACAAAGGAATGAAATGAAGCCAACTTTTGTTTAGTCGGATGACATGATTTGAAGTGTGGTGGAAAACAAACAGATGAAGGATTACGGTAAACCTATGACCAAAATGTCGAGGAACAGAGGAGAATTGCACGTCTCAAGTACAAAAGTGAATCGAATAGCGGGACCAATGGAATTCATTATTGAAAGATTTTTATTTAAATCATCTTGATTACGTAAAAGTATCGTCTACATAGCGGAACCATACCGGGAAGTTTAAAGTTTTAAATAATTTTGATTCATTATAATGCAAGTAGATATCAAACAGGATGGGACTTAGGTCTTCCCATGGCTAATCCCTCAGTTTGCTTCAGTACTACGCTTTACCGTGCCCTTCATCGGTTTGCTTTCTACCACACTTCACATCATGTCATCCGACTAAACAAACGCTAGTTTCATTTCATTCCTTTGTTTTCCGTGTACTTCAAGGCTCTTTCTTCATCAAGAGCTAAATTATTTAAAAGCAATAGCTATTGACAGGGGCTTTTCACCCAACATTATTAACCAAGCAGTTAAAAAATGCTCATCTCAATACACCAAAAGACACACTTTTGTTTTAGGAGATTATAAGAATTCTGTTGTCATTCTTTTCTTTCCAACAATTAGCTATAAAATTGCACGTATTTTACAGAAATTTAACTTTTGGGTCGTTTATTCTCCTATCAATAAAATTCTGAGATCCATGCATAAGGACCCCCATTCCGGATATAAGTTCTTGGGGTATTTACAGAATTCCTTGCCAGTGTAGTTTAATTTACATTGGTCAAACTAGGAGAACCTTGAAATTTCGCGTTAAAGAACATGAGGCATATGATAGGAAAAAGGAAACACAGAAGTACTCTTTTACCCAGCATTGTTGGTCCGAAAACCACACATTCCATTTTACTTCAGCCAAAATTACTCAAAAATAATTTCTGTTGGTGAACTGGATTTTCTAAAGGCGTTTCACATTCAAAGATATCTTTCTCTTCTAGTTAACAACCGTATTTCCAATCCATCTTTACCTTCATCCTTTAAGGAAATTATGTTTAGTTTTCTTGTTTGATCAATATATGGCGCCAGTAGCTTAGCTCCTGTCCAGCCATTCTTATATTATAACTGTATCATGTCTCGTTCATTTGCACTTTGACAGCTGATGATGGTGATTTGCTAAAACCATCGAAACTAGTCCTGTGAAAATTTTCAAATATTACGCTGATTTTTGTTATTTGACTTCTAAATTAATGTTTGTTCGGCGTGTTAATTTACCTTAAATTCTCAGCAACAGTGAAACACTCACGGAAGACTTTTCGTCCTGTGACTTATTAGCTAGAAGCAGCACAACCAAAGCAAAAGTCAAATAAATATATTCATTAAGACTTCGACCTGATGCTTACATAAAATTATAAGAAAAAGAACACTAACTTCCAGTATACAACATTTTTACTTGCAAACTCAAAGCAAAGCGAATTCATTTCACATTATTAGCAAGGTAACTTAAGCCTTGGCTTTCCTTGTTTAATCATACCCAAAGAATTATTAGAAGGAAATTTTCGTCGGTAAACCAATAGCAGGCGATAAAATTCAGAGTAACAGCTAGTCTAAATTTTCAAATGTCTTTTTGATAAACTATGAAACTTTAAGCCTTATTTATATTTTAAGCTAATTTGTATTCCTGTGAAAATTGGCGATAGCAGAAGTATTGAAGAACCAAAATGATAAGATAACTGGTTAATTAATACAAAATCTTAGTTTCTTAAAACATACAGGAAGTAAACAAAATTCCTTTGAGAATTTTTTTCACTATCCTAACAAAAATATGTGAATATATATCATATCTCGACAATTCACATCTCAAATGTCTCGAGAATTTATCGTATTTTCTTATGAAAATTTTATCTCACCATAACAAATTTTAATGAATGTGATATATGTTCATAAAGAACATAGTATGCATCGGGTTTCCTTCTACTTTTGCCATTTTAACGAATGTTTAACTTAATGTTTAGATATTATACTAAATTGTGGAATATTAGTTTTGATGAAAAATTTATAATTTTCTAATTTCATATTGTATTTCTGATGATTATTATATCAGTTTCATTATTTTATTTAAATATCAAGGAAAGTTTCGTTAATTTCTTTATTTGACAGTGGACTGAAGATAAAAAATTGCTCAGAGTTTTATGGCTATGAAAATGGTTTATCGTCAAATGAAGCCGCTTCTCTGTTAGCACATCATGGGAAAAATTCCATTGATATCGAAGTGAAGCCTATTGTCACATTAGTTCTAGCACAAGTAATTATTTTATTATTACTTTGCTTCATAATTCCATCTAGTGCACTGAATAAAAGTACTTTCATCAAATCAGTCGCCCTTTTAGATTTTTTCCTGTACAGCGAATAATAAGAATTATTATAACTGATGTGCCCTGATACAGCAATTTTAAATTAAGATGTAAATATGTGCAAAGTGCTCAACTTAAAAGCGGACTGAAGATTTTAAGGGAAAAATACTTTTAATTGATCTCCAAAGCTGTATCATAGCGTTTATAAAAGGTTGATAAATCATTTTGATAAAGGCAAGTATGAATTCTTTAAAACAGATAGGTGTTTGATTAATTTTATCGCGGAAACAGGTTTTGAACCCTGTTATATTGTGTATCACGTCTCTAACTCTTGTTTGTAAAAGCTTCATTCATGGTGACACTTCCATTTTAAATCAAGTGTTTTTTTAACAGATTAGGTATGGTTTTATCGCGAAAACAGGTTTTGAACTCTGTTATATTGTGTATCACGTCTCTAACTCTTGTTTGTAAAAGATTAATTCATGATGACATTTCCATTTTAGATCAAGTGTTTTTTTAACAGATTAGGTATGGTTTTGTATAAGTTGATATGTAAATATTAGAACTTATCGAACATGAAAACTTATATAAATTTAACAAATCCCCTTGGATCTTACGAAGATTAGTATCTGATATGCTGTGTCAATGTAGCGAATAATCAGCCCCTATAACTATGGAAGCTGAGACTTACAAAGTTATTGTTTAAAAATTCAGTGGCATATTCCAAGAGAATGACCATCACTCATGAATGCAGCGAGATAGGACAATACATCATGCAACACTTTCTTTTGTCAGTAGAATTATATCTAATGATTATGGCGACCTAGATTCCTCTATCTTACCAGTATAGGTTACCTTTCGTGATGACGCTTGATATAAACTGTGAACGCAAACAATGCACCCACCCCTATTGGAAATGTTGAAAAGGAACATCAATTCTGCCATCTAGACAATCTCTGGGTGAAGAAGGGTTTTGTTCGTAAGTTTTCTAAGAACATGTTGAAAAACATAAACAAATGCACTGAACTAAAGGGATGTAAGTTCTATTATATGCTGTAGATAAAGTACGCTTTATAAATATGAACATTTAAAGTTTCTATGAAGAGTCAATCCCCTTTTAAATCAAACCCCTGCACACCTGCAACATAAATAGAATTTTACACTTAAATAAACTATCCGACTTCATTTTTATTTACAATATAAGGATTTTTTTCAGTAGGTATTTTCATAAATTTAGGGCCTGATAGATAAAACATAAAAGTATGTCACTTTTAATGAAGGTAGGAAACGGTTTATACTTTATGCATATCTTCTAATTTAAAAAAAATTCACTTTCGTGTTATGGTGGTCAAATAACAATTTTATTGATTTTCTAGAGCAAAGCAAGACAGTAATAAGTGAAACATAATTTAAAATAGATTCTTCATTTACGCAAATTATGAATGTGAAATTTCAAGATTAAATGAATTTATTTAAATGGCCCAAGTACCTGCAGTTAAATCTCTGCCTTGAAGATGATTTTAATCACAGTTTCGGAAAGAAAGTGTCTCATTAGCTCGTTGACGTCACGTGACCAAGAAACCGTAAGTTTCAACATTCTGCGTATCTAAAGGACTGTGCAAATAGTGTATATATGAATTAGATACTAAATTTCAAGACTTTAAGACCGTAGCACTCAATAAGATACTGACTGCGCGCTGATAAGACCTTTGTGAATTTACGAACTTAGCTTTGAACTCTTGACTTTGCAAAAATAACAGCGCCGCCTCTGAGTGTATGGTGCGATTGCAGCACAATTAAAAAAATTACCGTGATTGGCCTTAGGGTTGTAGAGTTCAGTGAATGAACTTCTGTCTGTATACTGGAATAGCAGGAAACTACACTAGAGAAGGGTTCAAGTACCCTTTATTAACTCTTTAAAATTTAGAATACGTCAACTCGACGCTAACAAACTTCGCCTCTATTTGAATGGCAATTGAAAGTCAGATAATTGAAGCTAAAAGTTCAAATGTTTAACAAGTGATAAAACTAGCCTACAAGGCTCAGCGAGATTCCGTAACTTACCCCCTTCTACTCTAGTGGCAGCAAAGCAATGCAATTAAGCCACTTGAACCAGCAATAAGCAAACATACCTACGACAGAGACGGCAGCTAGGGCCTAATTCTCCTTATATCCTACCGAAACTCGGCTTTTAACTACTTCCTTCAAAATAGAAAATTTGCATTCGTTCACGCACGCTACAACATTTAACTATTCTGACACTGCCAATTAAGGGAATGAAGGCTTATAGAAAAGTTTCAAATAAAACTTAAATTATTAGTTAAAATAAATCCCTACAGGGTAATAAACTAAATCGACTCGTAAAAGCTCACAGTAGTTGAAGCTAATAGCAAAGTGATAATCCGTGTGATTTGTCCGCGCAAGATACGGGCGTCATTTGTGGGACCCACTTGATTTGCCCTCACTGCTTACGGGACGGAAGTCTTTATTTATTTTTTAGTTCTAAAATTGTAAATCAATTTTTTAAAACCTAAGAAGAGAGAATGCACAAAAATACGTACGAAACGAAAAAAAAAAAAAAAAAAACAGTGATTAACGGAAACGATGGTTTTGACTACGCACATGGCAAAAGTAATTGCACAGGGTAATCATTGAAACGAACTTATAAAGACGCAATTCAGCGGTTTTAGAGCAAGTGCGGGCGTTTGTTTTTTACATACTCTAAAGCATAGCGTTGAGTGTAATCGCTCGGATTATCTCAAAACCGGATAACGATATGTTAATTTAATTAATGTAATTTTTAGGAGTTTTCCCATAAAAGTCGCTCTAATTGCTTAAATTTTATAGCGGAGGGCATTTAAACTTAAATTAGGCGAACTTATCATGGTCAAGAAAAGAGAATGAGCAGCTTCTTGTTAGTACCAAGTACTCCGAGCAACTCGAAGGTAGAAGCCTGACTTTGCTCCAATGCCTGCCAAGCATTAGCTGGCCTGCCAAGCATTAGCTGAACTGCCAAGCATTAGCTGAACATAATGGAATGGCCTTCACACCTAAAGCGGCCTTACCAGAAATAAAACCTCCCAACGTACTTCGCCCATTTCGCCCAGTGTCACCCTTCCACCATCACGACGACGCTGGAGGAGTTCTGCTGAAGAGATTTAATTTCTTGGTGGAAGTCATGAAAGTGAATGAACTTATGGATCTGATCTGATTCAGATCAGAGGGATTAGTAAGAAGAAAAAGAAACTTTAACTCTGCTGAAGCCAAACTTTAACAACAAATAGCGACTTTTTTAATATAAAAAAGAAAAACAGCTAAAATTTGTAACTGAAAATGGTAACTGAAATTTGTAACTGAAATGTTTTGTTTCTCACTGTCAGTATGCTGTGATATGTAGAGGATCATAAAAGTAGTGTTGCCATTTTGTTTCACTACCGTTCTTTTCTGTTGATGCATGAGCATTTTCACTGACGGTCACACGCTGTGGATTACAGAATTTTTGTCATAGAAATTTTAACTCCTCAGCATCATTTTTTTTTTTTTTAACTTTTCTTAAAAATGGATACCTCACTAAGAAGTTCTGTTCGAGAATCTAAAATATGTGGATTCTTGAATATCAATGAAAGAAAATTTACATTCCTGTTCACCTGAAATTCTGTATAAAATGTCCTGAAAAAATAACATTATTTCTTTCTGATGATTAAAGGATTCAGATTTTTTTTTTCCTTTGGGAACTCATTTATTCAAGGTATACATAATTTCTTTCGATTCCCAGATATAACAGAAGCCTAATTTACTGTCTTAAAAAGCGGATAACCTTGCACGTACCGACTCTGCCTTACTCTTTACACTATAATATACATGTAAATGTAATATTGCTATAAAAAATTTTAAGAAATCTTGTAATCAAATGATCTGATTTTAATTAGCGTGTTTTTAACTTTCCTTCTCTATTCGTTGCCTGATTTTTTTCATTTGTTTTCCTGTACACTTGGATCAAATATTGAAAATAATTTTGACCCATATTTATGAAAGTACGCTAATGTTTGCGAAAATTATAACACCATACAGGAATTTGGCAAATTGGACAAACCTTACAGGAAATGTAAAGTGAGGTAAGATAGGCAAATGATTAGAATTAAATTCTTCATAAAGGAATTTGTGGAGCCAGAAGTCCTCCCCATTTTCGTCGCACTCCGGGGCTATATTTCAGCAGGATAATGCGCGCGCATATATTTCGCAGGCGGCACAAGCCTTTTTTAAGCCACCACAGATTCGTTTCTTCCATGTCGCTGCTTAATTCCCCCGATATGTTGCCCATTGAGCATATCTCGGATTTAATAGGTCAGCGACTCGCTCGTATAGCTGGTGGGGCACACACTAAGACTGGCGTCAGATGGAAGCGATATGGAATGCAATTAACCAGAATTATATTCACAACCTGTTATGATTCAATGCCACGACGTGTACAGACTCTCATCGCTTAGCGTGGTGGACAAAGTACTGATTTTCGCCGATCGTTTTGTTTTTTTGTCTTGCAAATTTGATTGTTTATTTGTATTACTATCAGTAATATTTGAAATAAATTTTACTCATTTCCTACAATTCCTTCTTGGTGCTACATTTTTTAAATAAAAAATACTCTAATGTATTTGCAATTCACAAATTTAAAAAAAAAAAAATACTCTAATGAGGGTTTTTTTTTTAATTTTTCATGTGTAGATATTTGCGATGACGGTATAATATTCCTGAAATATTTTTTGATAAGATTCAGACCATATTAATCTTATGCTGAATTTTTCTCACGCATGCGTGCATAACGTCAAATTACTTACCGCAAAATTTAGCTTTTTATACCCTTGGAATATTATAATTTCTTACTAAATTGAACCAGTTTGTACGTTCCGTTGTTTAAAAATAGTGGACTGTAAATGGACTTTATACTACTTCA